TTGTGTCCTGTGACCAGCCGACACATGATGATGTGTTCCAACAAAATAACTTGGAAAGATGACAAGATGGGACTGCAGTCCAACACTGAAGAGGGAACAAAGGGAATCTGGTAAGTTCAGTTAAGGCAATACGAACAGCCACAGCACACAGACCCTCCTGCACCCAGCCAGCTCCCTGTAGTGCAGGTGGCTCAGCACAAAGAGCTGTTTGTGCAAATTCCAATTTCTGCATTCAGAAAATCAAAGTAACCACCCAGCACAGTGCTCAGATACAGCAGAAACAGACAGAAAGGCCGTCCCAGCGAGCTGGAAAGGTCTGCTGGTTTCTTTTTTAATTTAAATTAGCAACAAGTAATGGAATCTCGCAGCATCAGCCAAATTCTCATCCTTATACTTACTTTTTAGCTTCTCCAGCTGCATGAGTGCTTTGTCTGTGTACTTCTGAGCCTTCTCCAGGTACCCTGCTTGCATGGAATGCATCACTGTCACCTGCCAGGGGACACAGGAAAGATTACAAAACATTTTCTTTGCAGAGGAGAGCTGTAAGCATTCACACAACTCCTCAGGCACTCATCATTTTAAGCTAAGGCTTTATATCAATTAAGAACAAAATGACATGCAAGAAGTGGGGCAACCAGTTTCAGGAAGGTGAAGTCAAGTTTGCTCTTCTGTTGATAAAAATAAGCCAACATAAAATCAAACCTTCCCCTAGAATTATCTGGCTGATATTAACGAAGCTTCGTTCCAGCTCCCAGGTTTCTCACACAGTCTTTTCAAACACTGAAAGCAATTTTCTCACAGATGCTGTGTCAGAATCAAGCTGTCAGCGCAATGCAAAGCAGCGCACGCTTTGCAGAATCAATCACTGCTGCTTTCAGACCACTTTTAAGCAATTCCTCATTCATCAGCAATCTGCACGAAGTAAAAAAGAGCTGCTCACCAAGTAGACAAGCACACACATGTGTTCCTTGGGCAGCCAGTGAAAGAGATCCGCAGGGTTGCTGGGCAGAATCTCATCATCGTGTAGCGTGGATATGGTCTGAATGCACTGCTGAAGCTGCTTCAGACACGGCTTCACACTCTTCACCTGCACAAGATGATGCACTTCAGACACAGCTCTGCATCCCACTCACCTGAATGCTCACTGAGCTGAGAAAACCTGCCAAGCAACGAATAACCCGCACTCATGAACTCAAGTCAGGCCCAGCTCTCGCAGTCTGCACGCACCTGCCCGGCATCCAGGTAATGTGTGACCTGCAGGACTAAGAAGAACACACGCAACGACTCCTTCTGGATGGGGTTTCCTTGCCAATTTTCAACTATCTGCCCACACAGGGTAAGGAGGGGGTGCACCTCCTGCAGCTTCCGTTCCATCAGAAGGAGCTGTAATTCGAAACAGAAATCAGTGCTGTGCTTGGCAGTTCAGACTCTCAAAGACCGAAGTCACACTGAAATCCATTCTTTCCAATGCAACTAGACTCAAAGGCCTCTATTTGCAAAAGCAGGTTTTTCATCCTGAATTCCAAGGGTCCCAATGACAATTCACAGTTAGAAACCACACATTTGTCATCATTTGTAACAGGAAGCAGAGGAACCCATTCACAAGAGCCCTACAGACTTGAGGCTTGTTCTGGGCCCATTCAGTTCTGTGCTCACACGAACAGAACACACAGAGCACAGATGATACATCAAAATAACCAACTGACGTTCAGATAAGTTGCATTCTCTTCTAGCCTGTACCACACTAGTTAAAAATTTAGAAGCCCATCCAACTCACCATTCCCTTGCTTAGCAGAAACAGTGCTCTGAAATGAAACAAAATAAGGTCATAATCCAAAGGAAACACAAGATGCCCCCTAAAGCCCCCCCACATTTAAAAACCAGATGGCGAGGTCCGATCCCAGCACCAGGAGCCACAAAGCCAACCTCTCAGCTTTGTGCCCTCAGACCATCCCAGCTGCAGTAGCTGCTAAGGTCAAAGCAAGGCTAATGGAAAATCTTTTGCTGATAAAGACAGTAAACAAAGTTCAGTACGGAAAACAACAACAACGAAAAGCCAGGCCTTAGCAGACATCATTGATTTTCACAGGAAAATTAGAGCTGAACAAACTCTCAGATCTAAGAGAGCACTCAGAAATATTGGTTTGCCTGTAAAACCCTCGTAGCAATCAGAGCCCACATCTCTAATTTACTCACAGATAGAACAGAAGAGGAGAACGGAGGAGAACAGAGGAGAACAAATCCAAATAAGAACAACCCAAAACATCCCTTGAGAGAAGGACAAAACCACAGCTGGGAGGCACTCACCTGGTATACTCTGACCCCACCACCCGGGCATACTCTGCTCCCACTCCCAAAAGGTCACACGCAGATACCAAATCTTTTTCAAGAGTATGTAGTTGCTGAAATGAAAAGAGGCCAGAAAAGGTCAGCGTTCCTTAATGAGTCTAATAATCCTTTTTTTTTTTTGTAATGTAATTACTTCTGTGTTTTACACGCGATAGCTGCTAAACTGACACATTAATTACTTCGTCTCATTCTGGACTCGTCTTCCAGGAGCACTTTGCATTCTCCAGAAAAAGCCTGTGACATTTCAGAAGGAATTTCTCAGCCAGGTTTCATACCCTCAAGTTGCTGCAATTTACTGAGAGTACGTGCAGAGCAGGGAGGATCGATTCAGATACAACCGACCTCAGACAGATACACAAGGAATGCTCCCAGGAGGAGGAGCAGAGGGATTCTGCAATGCACGGCTCAGGTGATGAGGAAGGGATGGCACAGCCTGCAGAGCAGCCCTCCCTCCCTCCAATCTCCCAAATTTCAGATGTTTTCCAGACTCAGGTAGAGAGCCACACAAGGGCAGAAGAACACCACTGAGGCAGTGAGACATGCAGACCCTTGTGGTCAAGCAAAAGCCAGAAAGGAAATACCACACAGAAAAGAAATCAGCAAAGAATGTCAAGCTCCAAGAAAGGATCCCATTCAGTGGGAGGCACCGAGAAAAAACATTTAAGCTTCTTGTGAGTACTCAGGCATTAACTCATTGCAAAGCAAACATTTGTCCTTTAATCGATAGGAAAGGCTCTGCTCAGTGTTCCCAAACTACATAAAGGAACTCAGCAGTTCCTTTTCAAGGCAGTTGGTCTGCTTGTTTAAGCTCATCAGGAAGGGGGGAGACACAAGTACAGGTGACTTAAGAAGCCATCATACAGAAACTGCCCTCTTTCACAGAGCACCCCAAAAGAGCAATTAAATCCCTCAAATCTGTCTCTCCACTGATGACTGGAAAAAATAAAGAACCACAACACCTGCGTTAGGTGAAGGACCTCACAAAGAGGTGTCCAACATCTTCCACATAACACAGTTTTCCAGCCACAGTGCTACACAGAACTCCCAATTAGCAACAGGACGTCACTCACTGCAAGTTGGAAAAGCAGCCTACAGTGCCAGTATGGAGTCTGCTGTGAGATCTGGATGGCCTTGCGTAACAGAGGCTTCGCTGTGTCCACCGAGTTCTGAAACAGAAACACACACCCAAGTCAGCACAAGAGCCAGGCCCTGAGCGCCGTCCGGCCTTCTGAACAAGATGCGTTCTGTGCTGATCCTCAACCAAAACCTCCCAAGTCAGGAAATTTAAAATAGGAAAAGTAACCCAAGTAAGCTTTTAACATCCAAGACCACGCAACAATAAGTCTGCTCAAAGGCATCAGACTATTTAGCTTCTTTGACGACTGTTCCACTATTCCCAGCACTGTAAGAGAGGCACTCCGGCCCTCTGAGCACCTCGCGTTACAAAAGGTCCACGGCTTTCCCGAGCTGAGGGCACAGAAGCCGATGCAGTATTCCAGGTGGGGCCACACGAGGGCAGAGCAGAGGGGCACAACAACCCCTCCCTCGTCCCGCTGCCACTTCTCCATCGATGCGGGCCAGAATACAGCCGGCAAACCCCTTCGATAACAGCCGCACCCCGCACGGAGAGCAAAGGCACAGCAGCAGACGGAGCCCCGTGCCGCCTCCAGCAACACCGCAGCACTCACCTCCTGGCAGTACAGCTCGGACAGCAGGCTGGCTGCCTCGAACTTCACGTCCTCAAACTGCGGGATCTGACAACATCTGAGTTAAGTAAAAACTCAAAGCGGCACCCCCAGTCCTTACTGTAACACACGCGTTAAGAAAGCAGCCCGCAGCCGCACGAGGACGTTAAAGAACTCGGGACTCGCTCCCCGTCCCAGCGCCGGGCCTCATCTGGGGCGACTTCAGGCGGACACCAAAGGATACCTGCTGCGAGATCAGCCACTGCAAGAGAACACGGCGGTCAGCTCAGCGCTCAGAGCCCAGCGCCCCGCAGCGCCCCGCCCCCCGCGGCCCCCCCGCTCACCGCTTTCTCCAGGTGCCCCCGGGCCTGCTCCCCGTTCCGGGTGTGGTGGTAGAGCACGGAGCCGAGCTGGAGGTGCGTGCGGGCCTCCATGCGGGCCGGGGGCTTGCGGGGCAGCACGGCCTGCAGGCAGTGCACGCACAGCCGGACCTTGGGCGGGCTGGAGGTGCGGAAGTGCTCGGCCAGGCCCAGCAGCGCCAGGTACCACGACTCCCCCCCGCCCCCGGCCGCACCGCCGCCCGACCCCGACCCCGGGCCGGGCCCGGCTCCCCCCGCGCCGCCTCCTCCTCCGCCGCCCGCGCCCCCTCCGCCGCCCCCCGCCTCCCCGGAGCCCGCGGCGCCGCCCGCCGCCGGCTGGGGCTGCTGCTGTGGAGGCGGCTGCTGCTGAGGCGCCGCTCCGCCCGCCGCGCCCGCCGCCACCGCCGCCATCTCAGGGCCGCCGCGACAACACGGGCGGGGGGGGGGGGAGGAAGGGGCGGGGGGGGGGGAGGAAGGGGCGGGCCGGGGGGGCGGGAGCGGCGCGCGCGCGGGGCGACGGGAACTGCAGTCCACCGAGGGCGGGGCGGAAGTGACGTACGGGCGGGTGGCGGAAACTCCGCCGCGCGAGGGTTTGTGGGAGTCATAGTCCGAGCGCCCTCTGTCGCGCAGCTGCCTTAAGGGCTCGGGAAGGAGCGCGGAGGCCGCGACCTCACCTCAGCGAAGCGCTCCGCTCCCTCCTTTCCTTCCCGCCCCGAGGCCTGCTCGGGAACTGCAGCTCCCAGAGGCCTTTGCGGCAGCTCCATCGCGCTCCGCTCCGCCCGGGTTCAGCGCGGTGCATGGTGGGACGGCAGTTCCAAAATGGACCATCACCACCACCACCACCGGGATGCTCCGGGTACGGCTTGGCCTTTTTGTCCGCCTCCTTCTCCTCCCTGGCCCGCCCTCGAGGACTCCGCGCTCCGCAGCCTCTCGGCCTGAAAGGAGCTCCGCGCTTTGGCGGCTCCTCCCGCTGCAGCGGGCGGTAATCGCGTCCCCTCCTTATTTTTTCCCCCTCAGGGAAGGCCAGTCGGTGGTTTGGGGTCGCGCAGTCGAAATCGGCCAAGACGACGGCGAATATCCTGCAGCAAGAGGAGCTGATAGCGCAGAAAAAGAGAGAGATCGAGGCCCGGCTGGAGCAGCAGGCCCGGCAGAGCACGCTGAGCCTGCAGCAGCTGCCGCTGCTCGGAGAGTGCGTGTGGGAATGGGATGGGATGCGGGATGGGGGGAGTTGTGGAGTACAGGGCGTGGGGGGATGTGGGATACGGGATGGGGGTGGGATGTGGGGTGAGATATGGGATACGGGGTGGATGTGATGTGGGATGTGGGGTGGGATGGTTGCAGTGGGTTTGTACAGGGGGAGCAACGTGGGAAGAGGCCTCACGGGCACTTGAAGGCGATGTGGAGGGGTTGGAGCTGCTCGTTAGTTAATGAAATGTTGGGAATGGCAGCAGTGGGCTCTGTGCGTTTAGCAGGTCTGCCCGGTGTTGTCACATTGTGTTAACAGATAGGTGCCTTTGGGAATCATAGAAGGTTTGGGTTGGAAGGGGCTCTTAAAGGCCATCTGGTCCCACTTCCCTGCAGTGAACGCCTGCAGCTCCATCAGCACTCAGAGCTCCTCCAGTCTGACCCTGGGTATCTCCAGGGTTGACGCATCCACCACCTCTCTGGGCAACCCGTGCTCTGCTTCACCACCCCTTTCTTAAAGAACGTTTTCCTTCTATCCAGTCTAAATCTCCCCATCTTTAATTTGAGCCTTTTCATGCTATGATATGATGTTTTCCTTCTCCTCAATTATCATCTTTTTGCACATCCCTAACTCCCAAGAGTCAGTGCAATTCCACCAGTAGCTGCTTGCTTAGAGCTCCAACTGTGCAAGGAGAAATCCTGTTTTAATGTGGTGGGGAGCATAGGTGGATGCTATAAGCACCAAGTGGAGTGGTTCTTGTGCTTCTGAATAGCTGTATTCTCAAAATCAGGTGCCAGAGATCAGTAATTTTTGATGTTTTTCCCTGTCCAAAATAAATGTCTATGAGGGGACTGGGAAAGTTGTCACTTAACCATCACCTGCTATTTTTTTTTTTCCTGTTTAGAGATGATGGGACTGAAAACGAAGCCTCTGTTTCCAACAAGTTTGTCAATGATGGCAGTTTCCTCCAGCAGTTTCTCAAGCTGCAGAAGGAAAAGTCGAGTACTGGTAGGTCGACCTCTGAGCAACAGGAGGCCTTCCTTCTCCTGATGGTTCCAGCTTTGTGTGAGCTGCCTCTGGGTGTATTCACTTTAGAAACCTTGCTGTTATTTGTTAGCAGCATGAGTAAGTCCTAAAGCAGTGGTGACCCCTTTAGATTTGGATTGAAGTCTTCCTTCAGGATGCAGTAGGAACGTTTGCACTTCTTTCCACCTGTAGGTGCTGTAAAGACAAACATCTTTTATTATTTTTTTTTAAGCTTGGATCTCCCTTTGTAGCAATCACCACACTTTCACTTAGTTACGAAGCTTTTGCCAGACAATGTCTTTAATTTACTCTGCGAATGACGGCCTGTTGCAGATGTGTTACTGCCTGAGTTGTTGTTTATAACCTGCTGAGATGAAAACAGTAAGAATGCACAGGAATTATTTTCCCCCCTCATTCTTTTCTAAGAACCTCCCCCAAGTTCTACTAATAACTCGGCAAACGCTGCTGCACCAAATGTTGGGAAGAAACCTTTGCTGTTTGGGAAGCGCCCCGGTCAGGTCCTGAGCAGCATGCTGCAGCAAGCGAAGAACTACTCCCATTCCAAACAGACCCCAGTCGTTAACCGCCTCAGTGTGTTTCAGTCGCCAGATGAAGATGAGGAGGAAGATTATGAGCAGTGGTTGGAAATCAAAGGTAAATGACGCTTTGTTCCTTTCTGTATTTGGTGGCTCGGGTTTGCTCGCTGTAGAGATACGAGGCGAAGCTTGGAAGGTGGATTGGGCTTTTCCCTTATGCTGTGAGTTGTCAGTAAGGTTTTTGGTGTGCAGATTTCTGGGTGGAAAAGCTGAGGGTTGAGTGCTGTGAGGGAGCAGCTGACTGGGAGTTTGTTTGGCCTGAGCTCAGTGTGGGAGGTGGTCGTTTGGTCATTCATTAAAGTTAGACTGGATCTGTTTTACGTCTAGGAAGGTTGTTTTCTCTGAGATAGCAAGGCAAGCAATTGAGGAGAGGAGGGAGAAATTGCATGGATAAATGAGTAAAATCACTTAGAAGTCACAGAAGTAGAAACAGGTGAATTCCAAGTTCCTGCCTCTCCCTGAAGCCTCAATAGAAAAACGCACTTCAGAGGGGTCTTAACTGCTTGAAGAGGATGTAAAACCAAGGAAGGAAATAGCAGCACTTCAATAAGCAATAGGCTGAGGAGCCAGAGGGCAGATTTGGTCAACAATCTGAATTTCACACGGATGTGCTAATCAAGTATAAAATTAGATTGGTGTTACTAAAAAGTCACACTAAGATTTGTGTCACAATTCCTTTTGTTGCGTTTACAAAACACGTCTGGCTGTTGCTGTGGGATTTATTGAAACGTAATCCTGGCAGGTCTGAACACGAGCTTGAAATGTACTGCAGGGATGTGAGAAGTGGCTGCTGAGAGTGAAGACGGGACCTGGACCCTTAATGCAAAGAGCATGGGTTCAAAACTAGTCGAGATCAGAGCAGACGCCTCTGCTCCTGGACACGGTGCTCTGTGTTCAGCTCCACACCCAAAATGTCATTGTGGAGAGAAACGTGTGCTTCGTTTCCATTGAATTTGTCCTGTGTCAGCTCTCCAGCCACTGTCAGGGGGTTCCTTCTTTGGCACAGAAGGAAGGGCAGCTTTCTGGAGGCTTCCCCTCTCCATGTCTCTTATGGGATTCCCTCCATGCGAGGGCTGGGACACAGGTATATGTCAGTAGGAAGAGCTGTAGCTCCAGCTGCACAAGAGGTCTCTGCTGTCCTGTTACAGAACAGTGCTTTGGGAGCTGAGATTTGTAATGTTTAGCTGGTAATGTTGTCCTATTCCTCCCCACCATGTGTTCTGTGTGGAGTGGAGTCACCAGAACCAAACTACATTCCAGTAGAAGCTGTGCTCTGAACTGTTCTGATGGCATTTTTAGGCTTTTTCCTTCTACTCAGAAATACTCACTTCCTAGCAGGGGAGGGAGGGGGGCTGGCTGTGATGTCAGGATTGTGATTTGTACAGCTGGGTAAGACCAGATCCCCCATTTCATCCTTTTTCTTCCCGTTCCCGTTCTACTTTTGTCTGTCGCCGTGGTTCTTAGAAGTAATGTGCCTGTTACCTGTTTGGTGTGTGAGTTGAACCCCAGTACTGACAGCCTGCTTAAAGTTTTACCCCCAGAGGATGCGGAGACCCGGCAGGTGGTGGAAAAGCTGGCTAGGTTCGTGGCTGAAGGGGGACCAGAGTTAGAGAAGGTCGCTATGGAAGACTACAAGGATAACCCAGCGTTTTCGTAAGTCTGGAGCTGCAGCTCACCTGCCAGAGCAGGGCACCGTGCCTTTGTAGGGGGGCAAATATCAGCCTCGTACGTGTGGTTCTCACAGGGGAGGGGGTTTGGTTTAATTACTGTTGGGTGGATTTGAGCTCTGTTGCGTGTCGCTGTTTTTGTTTTGGGAAAACAGAGGCAGGAAGCCATAGGTGGTGGTGCTGTGGGAGCAGGTCAGTTAGGTAGGAATACAGCCTGGGAGTTCACCTGGCCTGCGGGGGAGCTGGGCTGCACCTCAGGGCTGAGTTTGCCTTCTCTGCCATCGCTGGCTGAGGGCAGAGGGCTCCCTGTGTGTGCGAAGGACAGGCTGTTATTTCTTTGTGAAGGAAGACAGGACGTTTGGCTACAAGTCCTTGGATTAGAGCTGGGGGTGTTTATACGTGCTGGAGGCAGCGTAACCCACGGTTTGAGTGCAGTCTGAGTCATTTCTCTATCTTGTTCTTTGTGCTCAGGCTGTTTACATCCCTGGGGGATTGGTGTTGGTTTTTTTTCTAGCTGTTGCTGATTCGTATTTTTTTGCCTTTTTCTTTTTTTTCCCCTTCATCTCCACCTTTAGGTTTTTACATGATAAGAACAGCAGAGAATTCCTTTACTACAGAAAGAAAGTGGCAGAGATAAGAAAAGAGAATCAAAGTTCTCAGGCATCCTCTTCTCAGAAAGGTAATTAAGACTGAGATCTGAAGAATATAAGTTACAGAGTTTGTTTGCCTTCTTCACTCTCTGTGTGACTGTAAAGGTGTCTGGGAACAGTGGGAATGGATACTTGGCTGTCTGTTCCTTAAATAAAACTGCAAAATGTGTGGAGATGGTGACCTCTGGCATCAGACTCCCAAGCCCACAGTGTATTTAAGCACACTTTATGGAAGGGGCTTCTTTCAGTCCTGAAAACGCACTGAGGAAAAGTGCTTGTTCTCACGTGTTCTTATTGGATTTGTTATCTATGAGAAAGGTTTATTTGAATGTAATCCTCATTTCTGCTGCTGTTTCTCTACCTGAAGCCTTTGTTTCCTGCTTGGGACGTAATCCTTTGCAAATAAGGGACTGATTTCAGGTAGGAAAGCAGCAGAAGTGGGTGATCTGCCAACAGAAAGGTGCTGTGGGCAATGGAACAAGGTTAACTGCATTAGAAGACCAAAATTGTTGTGGGTGAGTTGTGGTCTGCAGGCTGGGCACTCAGTGCTTCCCTTCCAGCCTCTGTTTCAGGCCTGCTGTCAGATTCCCTTTCTGTGGAAAGGAATATTAATGCAATTTAGCTGCCGTGCTGATGAGCTACCAGCCCAAACAAATGGTGGCTTAACAGACTGTGGGCTGAAGGAGCTCATTACCAGTATGCAGCTGCTAGTGCAGCCTGGAAGCTATGACCACTATTATCCATACTTTACAAGTGTGCAGTACTGAAGCAAGGGAAGGTTATGACTTACAATCATGTCTCTGCCTCCTGGTCCTGTGCCAGCACGCTGGTGCTGTGCAGGTAGCAAACTCCTATAAGGCTGTCCTGGCTAAATAACCTGTTTGCCTGGCTCCTTGTGAACACCAAACGTGCTCGAAACACTAAAGCTCTGAGACCTCTGTGCCTTTGGACTGAGGCTGCAGTATTTGCCTCTCCCATGTGAGAGCTGGGATCGTTCCACGGTCCTGCAGCCCTCCCCAAAGCAGCTGTTGGCTGTGCAGTGACACTGCATACACGTGGGATTGTGTGTTCCTACTTGGCTGCTTTTTCCTCCCATTTACACCTCTGGACTTCAGTGGCAAAAACCTTTAATGAGAGTTAATTGTGAGTGCTGAGACGTGATATTATGGAGAAGTGCCTGACACGAGGAAGAAGGACTTCCTTTGCCGTGCAGAGCAATGAGTGCCCCCCTTTGAACACAAAAGCTGGCCTGTCCCTTAATCTGCTCTCATCTAGCTGCTGGCACAGAGGATGGTGCTGTGTGAACGAGTGCTCCTCTGCTTCCTGTTGTACAGCTGTAATGCAATGTCGTGTTTCTGTGATGTAAACTGTTTGCGTGTCGTATTTCTCACAATTAAACTCGACCTTTTGCCCTTATTCTGCTCTTGGGGTTCTTAGAACAGATAGGCTTTGACTGTTGCTTGTGTGAGTTGGGCCCAGTACTGACAGCCTGCTTAAAGTTTCACCCCCAGAGGATGAAGAGACAAAGAACTTTGCTGAGAAACTCGCCCGGTTCATAGCAGACGGGGGTCCTGAGGTGGAAGCAATTGCCTTGCAGAACAACCGTGAGAACCACGCTTTCAGGTAAAGGAAGAAGCCTGCAGCTGGGGCTGAGGGGGGGCCTTGGGGTCCTTTTCTTTATGAAGGGATAATGGTGGGTGTAAATCTGACGTTACAGCTATATGGTGCTTTACAATTCGGGGCACAGAGAGACAGAGGAATCGATTTGCTTTCTCCAGAATTAATTCATGACTTCCACCCCTCCCACCTGCTTTCTGCTGCAATCCAGTGGTATAATTCTGACCTTTAAGCTCTTCCCTATAACTGAGTCCTGTTGTGAGCCCCCATCCACCCCTCACACTGCTGCTGTCCAATTAATTTCCTGGGTTGCTCTTTACACAGCATCTTTAATGTACAGGTAGCTCTCCTCCACCATTACATCCCCCTTTGGAATATCTTTTTCAGTGCATCCAATGTGAATCGTTCTCTTTGGTGCTTACTGGCAGCTGCTCAATGGCTCCCTTTGGTGTCATGCAGGTTTTGTTGTTGTGCTCTTACAGACGACGCCGTGTGTTCTCTGGGAGCAGCCTTGTGTTCAGCAGGCCTTATTTTGCTGCTGATATTTTGGATTTTTATTTTGCTGCCTCCTGGCCCTCTTGGGTCGTCTCCTTGTTGTGAATTGCATTCAGCAGATGTGCTGATAGCCGAGCTGCTCCCTGATTTACTTGGAAACACCGCTGTGGTCCCACCTGACCCAGGTGAACCCTACCTCCTCTGTTGGGATTCCATCAGGTGGATGGACGTCCTGCCCTCTGCTTGCTCCTGCAGCAATCCCCGACCCTGCTACTCAAATGGAGGAATGCAAGATTTAATTCAGTGCATTTCAGAGTGTCACTGAACTGCTTGTTGCCTGTGGCTGTCGTGCAGGTAGAGATGGGGGAGGCCTGTTGTCTCCTGTGTCTGCTTGTAGGAGCAGGCACTGTCAAAAGGAGAGGTTAGATCACATTTTAAACTCTTCCTCTGAAGCAGGAAGGTCGCAGAGGCATTGGGAACAGAGTTTCTGCATGAAGTATTTAAATTGGAGGGAGCCCAAAAAGAGTGTTTATAATAAACAAAGTGTATCGTCTTTTTTGGCTTTTGGGTTTTTTTTTTTGCATAGCTGCTAGACTGAGGATTGTTCATGTTCTTCCTACAGAGACTAAGGAGTTTTATTTTACCCTAAAGGTCAGAGATGCCTATTTCTGGAAGGAGTAACAACTAAAGAAGTATTTTTGTTGGGTATGAAGGAACAGGAGGAGGAATCGTGGTATAACGAAGCAGCCTGTTAATATCAATTCAAGCTAGCAGCACTGAGGGCTGGGAGCAGTTTTTTTAGGCAGTGGTTTGGCATTCTCTTTGGTAAAGCTGTGAATGTTTTCTTCCTTGAGCTGCAATCCAGCACGTTGTGGTGCCCCTTGCAGTTTTCCCAGGTTCTGGGGGATGCCTTTGCATTCCCGCAGCGCCGTGCTGTTGGCGCTGTGTGCTGATGTGGCACCGTGCTTCACCCACGAGTGGGAAGCAGCTTCCTGCTCCCAAAGCCGTGCCGTTCGCCTCGCAGCAGCGCGCAGAGCCCTGCGTTACACGCGCCTGCACACGGGGTGGTGCTGGAGAGCAGCAGCTCCTTGCAGGAAGGGGAAGCGCTGGGCAAACTGCTGTGCCCATCCCCGGCTGTGACTGCTGCTCCAGGCTTCTTATTTTTCCCTATAGGTTTTTATATGAGCCAAACAGCAAAGGCTACAAATACTACCGGCAGAAACTGGAGGAGTTCCGTAAGGCCAAAACCAGTGCTGCAAGTGCTGCAAGTGCTGCAAGCGCTCCCGTGCCTGCAGAGCCCAGTCTGAAAAGGAAGACCAGCCCTGAGGCGTCTCCATCCCCCCTGTGCTTATCGTCCCTGCCGTTACCTGCACCCACCACACCTTTGCCTTTGCCCTTACCCCTCCCTGTGCCCTCACCTTTGCCCTTGCCCGTCCCCTCGCCCTTACCTGTGCCCTTAACCATCCCCACACCGTTGCCCTCACCTTCACCATCATCCTCTTCAACTCCACCTAATCAGACGGCTACGGCTACTGCTGCGACAACGGCTGCAGCTGCAGCAGGCACCACTAAAAAGAAGAGGAAGAGCAGGTGGGGGCCGGAGGAAGACAAGGTTGAACTGCCCCTACCACAGCTCATCCAGCAGCTGGATTCTCCCTCCCCTCTGTCAGGTTAGTGGCTCTGTGGGTTGCGTTGCGTAGCTGTTTGTTCCTAGGGAGGGCTTTCTGCCTTAGCTCAGCTGGCTGCATGAACAGAAAGCCCAGCAAGTCTTTATCTCCTGTTGTAATCTCCTTGGTCGCCAGCCCCCTTCTTTCAGCTGGGTCCAGCAGCTAACTCTCCCTGTGTGGAAACCCAGATAAACCACTTTATCTCGCTGACACCGGGGATTGGATCTTATCGTTCTTCAGCTATCTCTAAAACCCTGCTGTGCTGTAGCTCATTAGAGCCTCAGCCTCCACGCTATTTAGGGCTATTTCATTTCAGGAAGAGTCTTCAGAAAACAAATATCAAAGCTGAACTGTGCTTATTCCCCATGGCAGGATAAAATCCCTGGGCAGCACTTCCATCTCACTCTAACTGATCAGAAGGCTAAATAAGAATAGCTGTTCCCCAGGTGCTGGTGGGCACAGTGTAACTCCCAGTTCCAATTTATACCCATTTTGGTTCATTTGATTACAAGTAGGCATCGTAACCCTCATCCAGTGCTGAGGCTGATGCTGGTGTTGCTTCACCTGCCAAGTTCACTATGGGGAGCAGCCCTGCTGGAGTGCTGGGAGGTGGTTCTTCCAGCCCAAGCACTTGCAGTGAGCTTGCAGAGGTTGAACTCCTGTGGCCCATCTGTGTGTGTGCAGGTAGGTAATTGGGCAGACAGTCAGCAGAAACTGAGTCACTCGAGGACAGCAGATAGGTGCAGATGTTTTAGATGATGTTTTTGAATCCTTTGTTCAGTTGGTGTGTTGTGGGGAAGGGGTGGCAAAAGGAGCAAATGAAGATGCAAGGTAGGCAGCCAGTGTTGGCAAACAGAGAAAGTGAAAGGTGGGAGGCTAGAGTCGTGGGAAAAGTAATAAGTACCTGTTTAAACAGGAACTTTCCCAAAAAGCAATAGCAAAATGGATGAAATGGGACAAGTAGCAGAAAACAAGGTATAATTTGCTGAGCTGCAGGGTGAGATTGCATCATTCTCAGCACACAGTCAGCCTGTGGGATTCCTTGCTCCATTGGATCAGTGGGCCTTCTGCTTAGGCTGGGTTTCAGAGGATGAAATTGCTCAGCCACTGATAGCTTTGATTGTTAGGCCTGGGTGAGATGTTGGGTTGGTGTGTCACAATGTGTTGGTTCTGCAGAGATCAGGGAGGAAGGGCTCCATCTCCCCATCCAGCCCTTCAGATGGAGAGGAAGAGGAGTTCCTATGCAGCCTGCTTTTCTGATCACTGTCCAGTACAGCATTCTTGTCTCTGCATGTCATACGTGCAGGACAAGTTACCAGGCTGGATGGATTCATTTGACCTTGAATTGCTGCTTGTAGTAAGCCAGAAATCAGATACTAAAGTCTTATTCTGTGCCTCTAGAGTAACTTTTTTTTTTCCTTGCAGACAGTAATGAAGCTTAGATGAAGCTCTGATAGCTGGGCAGGCGCTATCAAAACAAGCATCAGATTCCATCTTAATACCTCCTGCTGCAGTGGGGGCCTGCAAGAGTATCCATGTGCTCAGTGCAGCATGCTTCCTGCTGAAATCTCCCCTGGCTCTTTAGCCTCCCCTTAATTAGACAGGGACTTGCTAGCTGTGTTCACGCTCACTTTCCACAGGGCTTTGTGTCAAGTAGCAGAAAAGGACAGCAAACAATTTGCTAGGCATAACAAATCAAGCATTAGTGCCCTGTTAATTGCTCTGTAGGGGGAAGGGGTGTTTTATTTATTGCTCGAGATGGGCTAATCTCTTTCTAGAATTAACATCTTCAACCTGACAGGTGGAGAGAATTCCGAGTTAAACTTGTTCTGTGCAAGGCAGGTTGCACAAGGTGCTCTGGTCCCTAAATGTCTGTGTCTCAGACCTTTATCCTCAGCATAATGCACTGAATGTGGTGGAGGACTGTTGTGATCCTTTTTCTGTCTACTTGTAGTAATAAATCAGTATTGCAGAGTGGAGAAAAAGTAGCTCTTCTGGACAGAAACAAGGTTCCTCTTCAATATATTGATGTCAAAGCACTTAACTGCATAGGTGCTGCAGGGATTAATACATCTGAGAAGCTGAACAGAGCAGAGATACTGCTGTTAGTGAACTCTGTGGACTAATGGGATACTGCAGGCTGCTGTTAGAATATTCTGAAACCCAATAGTGGGTTGCTTTGAGTCTGATTCCTTTTAATTGAGTACCATCTTCAGGCTGCAAAGCAAAAGTTCAGGCACTTCTGTGCTGGGATTTCTTCTGCTCTTCTTAAAGGATGTTTGGTTCAGCTTTAACGAGCTCTTTGGATGTGGGGAAGGGATGCACCTTCAGGTAGCCTTCTGCCAGTGCTGCAGATAGACTGCACCATTAACCCTGTAGGCAAAGCTGGTGTCATTGAAGGGAAAAATGCCCTCTTCCCAAGCCTGCTGGGTGTGAGGCTGAGAGCAGCTTCTCTTTTGCATTGTGTTTGCCTGATGCAAGGCACCTATAAATCGTATTACCTGTTTTTATGCAAACATGTTGACTGATCTCTCTTACTAATAGATTTTTCTGTCTTCAGATGTAGGCTTTGGGTGGAGCTTTGCTTTTCTATCAACTTTTCTGTATTGCGATGCTTCGGGCCAAGCCTACAAAAACATCCCTCCGAGCTGAGCTGCTGCAGTGGCTCCTTCAGCCTCATCTCAGCACGAAATCTGCAAGGTGCCACAGAGCAGGCAGACGAACCAGATGTAGCTTTAGCACAGGAAGCAGCAGTGGCATATGCTTGCTGGGATGTGAAAGAAGACGCTACGGTCTTACCTTTCTCCTTTAAGGTGGTTATACGTGCTGGCAGACCACCAGCTCGCAGGGCCTCTGGAGCCATGCCTGGCTCTTAGCCTGAGTGTTTATGCAATTCAGAACGAAGCCAGAGAGCTGCTGACCTCTGTGAAGGGCAGAGTCTTCCTCGGCGCATTCAGAGAAAGCTTTCCCATGCCCTGAGACAGGAGGTGAATCCTTGGCGAGGGCTGGTGCTGGGCTGCCTCGGCCTCGCATCGCGTTTGGAGCCAGATTCTTATTTATAGCCACTTCCACATGGAGCGGCGGATCGCGTTCCTTAAAACGGCCTCCAAATCTCACTGCTCTCCGAGACACAAAATCGGGCTCTTTGTCAATAGCAGACAGGTCCATTTTTCTATTTTGCTCTTACTTCTCGGGAGCTGGAGATGCTTATCCTGGTGCTGGGCCCAGGGCGGCGCCGCCGATTGCTTCCTGCTCTCAGGAAGGCTCTGGCAGCCTTTTACATAACTCTTCCTGCAGAGTTGATTCCTGTTGCTGGTGCAGAGGCTCTCTGTGCGAGGCAGGCTGGCTGTGCTGCTCCATGCTCTCCTTGGGAGGCTGGAGTTGAGGAAGCTGCTTCCCAATCGTGGCACGCTTGGCCAAAAGCGAGTGGGAAAGGAGGGAGATAAGAAGGCTTGGATCAGTTGCCCTGGGTGAGAACAAGGGAAAGGCAGAAGCCAACTCCTGGGGCCTGATTAGCATGCTGTGCAGATGTTTGGTGTCACGAACAATGCTCCTGTTATTATTGGGCTTCATAATTAATAGGTGATGAATAATTAATGAAGCGTCATTTAGCTGCAGTCTGGACGTCTGTTGGAATTGGGGGTTTTGCAGTCATTGAAAAGAAAATTAATTTTTTTCCCTTGTGTTGGAAAATGCAACGTGCTTTCAAGTGTGGTTGCGAGTCTTCTTTTAATCCCTTAAATATTTAAGTGCTGGGATCTCAGTTCTGAGGTGCTGTAGAGGGAGAGGAGCTGCCAGTTCTGCTAGAAATTCAGACCGTGTTTGTAAGGCAGTCTCTACTGCAAATCTGTTTCTGCAGCTCCAGCAGTGTTCCTGGTGCCCTTTCTCATGGTGCAGCAGGCATCTCTGGAGGTCCTTTCCAACCCCTGCAGCTCTGTGATTCTGTGTGATTCCGTGACACAGAGGCATCCTCACTCCTTTAATGTGTGCTTTGAACTCAGAGTTGTGTGGGCACTTTAAATCAGTTCCCTGCCCACAGAATCTTAGTATCTCATTTCAGAGCTTACCTGATGCAGCAGTGAGAGTCGTTCCAGAGGAGGAGCCTCCAAATGAGATGCTGCAGGAAAAGGAGGGTGCATCGGTGGGCTGTCAGGCTTAGATTGTCCCCTCTTTGAAAGCCAAGCAGTGCTCTCCTTTGGCCTGCAGGAGCTCACATTCCTTGGGGATACCTTCCAAAGCAGCACAGTGCTTGTGTCTTTATTCTAACATGGTCATTTGCTTTTCTATGTGAACGAAGCTGCTATTTATACAGTAATCAGCAGGCACTCAGTGCACAGGCTGGCAGCATGGTGACAGGCTCAGGTCTGCATGGGATACACTCAGAATAATTATCCCTCCTGGCCGGGGTTCACAAGGAAGCCTTATGAGGGGAATTAGGATGAAAGGAGCGATGATTTTTCAGGCATGCCGTATGAAATTGCCATGCAGGGTGACCTCAGGGGGGTGAGGTGTTGGTTCCCACTCTGCGAATGTGAGCTGGGCTCTGGGCTGGCAGAGCCACTGTGAGCTGCTGGCTTTCCTGCCTCTGCCTTCGAGTGGTTGCTCTGCAGTTCAGAGTCTGGATGCAGCAGTTCTGAAATGGGTCTGAAGCTTCACAAGGAGGTCTGGAGATGGGGCTTCGCCGCCTCGACGGCTGTCTCTGATTTACCAAAGTCTTTTGCCTGTGCTTCTTTCAGTTCAGGACCTCAAGGGCCTCGGTTACGAAAAAGGGAAACCAGTTGGTTTGGTGGGGGTGACGGAGCTCTCTGAAGCCCAGAAGAAACAGCTGAAGGAGCAGCAGGAGGTAATGCCCTGAAATGCTTTCCTTATTCGTTTGTGTGCCTGCGTCTCGTGCTGCAGCGCGGCAGCTTTAGGTGGGAGAACAGAGGGGCTGATAGCAAAGAAAGTCCTCCACATAAATCTCTGGGATTTGTGCTGAATGCCTGAGAATCGGCTGGTGCTGCAGTCAGCACAATTATCTTAGAGGGCTTTGGGGAATACGAGCTAAGCCAGCCAATTGCTGTGCTACCAAACTCAAACCCAAAATCTATAAGGTCTGTGGTGTCTCATCTGCAGCTGGTTATGTATTGCTTTAGCAGTGGGGAGCTGAGGGCGTGCAAACTGCGGTGGAGTGAGAGCAGGATTTGCTTTTACTGGAACATGAGGGTGATGTTCAAACTGTGTGGGGACGACGAGGTGGCAGAAGTCCTCAGTGCTGAGATCAAGGTGCATTTCTTGGAGGAAGCAGCACGCCTTGCTCCTGTTGGATCTGAGAAATGAGTGGATCAGATCAAGCAGCCGTGCTGCCCCTTGGGATCTGAGGTTGTCATCCCTGCATTCTGGGAGGCAGCTGGGGGGGGGGGGGCTGTGCTGCCTGTGTGTTGTTCTGTGTCGCTGAGCGCCCCGTTGCTCTCATAGATGCAGCAGATGTATGACATGATTATGAAGCACAAGCAAGCCATGCAGGAAATGCAGATGATGTGGGAAAAGGCAATTCAGCAGCACCAGCACGGCTACGACAGCGATGAAGAAGTGGACAGTGAGCTGGGAACGTGGGAGCACCAGCTGCGACGCATGGAGATGGACAAGACCCGAGGTGTGTGGGGAGCTGTGAGCACCCTGCTCTGCAGTTGTGCAGAGGCCTCCAGGTGTTTGAGGTTCTCAGCATGGCAGTCGCAGGGCTGCTGGTCGCTGGTCTGCGCTGCGATTTGCCTCCCTGTTGGGTGCAGTTTGTTCCTGGGAGGTGTTTTGCTTCTCAAATCACCTGAGACTCTCAGGCACAGAACGCTGTGTAACTGCTGTTTTCACTTCTGTTATCTTGTGCAGAGTGGGCTGAGCAGCTCACCCAGATGGGCAGAGGGAAGCATTTCATTGGAGACTTCCTTCCACCAGACGAGCTGGAAAAATTCATGGAGACATTCAAGGCTCTGAAGGTAAAATAGCAGAGATTTCCCAGGGCAGTGGCAGAGCTTCAGATTTGTCCTGCAGCAGTGAGGGTGGGACCTCAGGCCCTTTGTCAGAGCAGGTTGCTACCATGCAGCTTTGAAGTACTTCTGCCCTCATCACGGGGGCTGTGTTCCTTCTGTAGCTTTTCACTCTTGGCAGTGGTAATAAACTGGAAAGCAAAATGTTTGGGTGGTGTTTGTGGGTTAGCTGGGATTGGAGACAAACCTCTCCAGTTCCTCACTGTTTGTCTGCAGTTCCTGTTTAAAACAAGTGGTGGCTGATGCCAAGCAAGGCAAATTCAAGTTTTTATCCAGACAACTGCAGTAGGTAAAAGCATAAAGCACACAAAAAGCTTATGAAAAAGACTTCACAGCTGTCGATTCTTCCTAAACTGTGGAACTTCTTGATGCTGGCGTCCTTGATGATGTTTTCTTGCAACCAGCATGGGTTCTTCTGTTCCCTGGAGATCCTTGTTTATATAGGAACCGTATCTGAAACTCGATTCAGTGAGCAACTTGAAATTCAGAAGCTGAATGTGTCTCAGCCTAATCTCACAGAAGCATTCCCTGCTTCTTGCAGGTTGTTACAGGGCTTGCGTGACTGTGCAGTGCTTTATCATTTACCTGTTTTCTTCTCTGTGTTTGTGCAGAAATAGAGTCCCAAGAGATTGTGCTGGTTATTAACTGTTTGCCAGAACAGTCTTAACTCCCAAGAGCTGGAGCTGATTTTTCTCTCCTTTGACCCACAAGCAGGTCTGTCTGCCCACGTAGAAACCAAACAGCTCTGCCTTTTGTCTTCCTGCAGGAAGGACGTGAACCAGATTATTCTGAGTACAAAGAGTTCAAACTGACTGTGGAAAACATAGGTTATCAAATGCTGATGAAGATGGGCTGGAAGGAAGGCGAGGGGCTCGGTTCGGATGGACAGGGGATTAAAAACCCAGTCAGCAAGTAAGCAGAGCTCTCCTACTATTGATTCAGTCCTTTGCTCTTAGGCTGATAATTGATGCTCCTGCTCTAGCCTACTGGAAGCAGCTGCAATGAATGTGGCTGTAATTCATCACTTGCACGGAATATGGAATCCTCTCAGCAGAGGAGGAAAATTGTTTCTGATTTCTTTGGGGTTCTCTCTCTGCCAGGACTGAATTTGTTCCTGTTACCTCAGGCAGGAGGTGTGAGCTGAGCCTGGGAGCCTTTTGTTTCCAATCTCAATCAGCCTGGCGTGTTTTTTTTCCTGAGGTTCCTGCTCTTCAGTTTCCCCCTCTGTTACACAGAGGTTGCACCACGCGTGCCCCTCATCCCTCCGCATTGATTTAAATCCTCAGGAGGATCTGAAGCACTCCTGGTGCCTGCTGGCCGGCCTCTGGCATACTGTGGGTGGAAGGCAGTTAACCATCGTGTTCCTGGTGCACCCATGGGAAAAAACATTGAGCCTCATAGCAGCAAGCATTTCGTGTGGTTGTGCAGCTCCTTTTTTGCACGGGGGTTTACTGACTCCATCACACTTTGTAGACAATAAAGCTTCCGTAGAGTTCCATCCGAAAATAGATGAACGTAGCTTTTTGTATGGATCATCTGTTGGTGGCATATGCTGAACTTCAGAAGCAGCTACTGGTGATAGGAAATGCTCTGAGTTATTTTTTAGCATTAGATCCTTTTATAAATAACAGTTGTTTGTTTGCTGCCTAATATGAAGCATCTCTACAGAGCACTTCTTTGCTTATTGCAGGAAGATCTCTGGCTGTGCACTTATTTGTTAGAGGAGACCTTGATGCAAGATGCCAGTGTTCAGAGCAGCGAGGCTTTAAAACAGCAGAAGGGAAGATGCTTCTGTCTGTCACAGGGTTGAAGCAGGGTTGTGCTTTGCTTGGATTTGCCATCTCAGGATTGCTAAGGAGGTGGCAATGGAGGTAGAGATGAGCTGGTGTCACTTCTGGGTTGTTGTGGAGTGAAGGATGTTGAGCAGCTGCCTGCCTCCATCCGTGAGGCACAGACCTGCAGCTTTGGCTGCCTGAGGTTGCTCTGCTTGCCCAGCATTGCTGGATGGGGGGACAGTATTTCTGCTCCAGCTCTAACAGGGTAAGCACACACAAACTCACAGTGCTGCTTCCAACATACGACAGCAGGCATTTGAGAGGACAGCGCGGAGGCACGATGAATTTGCTCCTACCTGCCATCTTGAGTGGGCATTTCAGGTGAGCTGCCCTGCTTGCTTCCCTCAGCAGCTTTGTTCTGCCCTTCTGAACAGGGGGACCACTGCTGTGGATGGTGCTGGCTTCGGCATCGACCGTCCTGCAGAGCTGACCAAGGAGGACGATGAGTACGAGGCGTTCCGTAAGCGCATGATGCTCGCCTACCGCTTCCGACCCAACCCTCTGGTAAGCAGGGCAGGCACACAGACAGAACCACCGAGCGATCTGATAAAAGGCAGGAGAGAGAGGAGTTTTTCCAGTGGAACTCGAACCAAGAGATCAAATTCTGTGAACGTTCCTTTGATTCATTCTCATTCCGAATCGAATTCCCATTACCCGGCGCCGCCTGCGTGCGCGCGTCTCCTCGCTGCGCTTCTGTGATGCAAAGGATGCTGGCTGTGGTTTGATGTGCAGACACCAAGTGTAGGTGCTGCACACAAAGGAGGCAGCTGGGTTGTCCGTGAATCCCTGGCTTATTTTGAATAATTGTTTTCCTGCCTGTGAAAGGCTTGCAAGCTCGCAGTCGCCTCTTACGTTTGGCGTGCCAGCGCATCCAGAGAGCTGCCTTTGCGCTTTGTGATGGGAAACCTCAGGTTTTGCTGTCAGCAATGTCACGTTTCAGTGGCTTTTTCAGATAATTAAGCTCAAAACGCTCGTTGTGCTGTGAAGGCGGCGATTCTGATTAATTTCCCTTTGTTATTCCTTGCAGAACAACCCACGGCGACCTTACTACTGAGAATGTTTTTGGGACGGCGTGTTTGCCAAACAGTTGTCATTTTTTTACTGTGAAAATGTTACGGAATCGCATTATCATTCTCTTCTTTGCTGATGTTGACGACTTGCTGAGGTCACGATGCCGTCTCTCAGCCGGGAGAAAGGCTGCAGGCCCGCTCACCACGCGCTTCGGTGCCGCCATGGCCGTTGTGAGGAGGCCTGGGTGGCATCCAGAGGAGCGGGTGAGGATGGAGACGTGAACGCAGTGCCCTGCTGAGGGCCAGGGCAGCTCCAAAGATCCCCGCAGCATCAGGGGCTCCGCTCCGATCTCGCTCAGCGTTGTGTTACTGACAAAGAACGCGGATCCTTTTGTTCTTCAGATGTGCAGCCTGTGCTGCTCCTTTTTAATTGCAGAGATAAAAAGGGACTGTCTGACCCCGCGCTGGGGGCTCCTGGGCGGCCTTTATTCCCTGACAAACTGAGTTCCTGTGCTGTCGTGAAGCCAGAAGTGCAGCCTGACCTCCAGGCGACGTTGCACAACCAGTGCCTCCTCATTGCACCTCTGCCCTCCAGAAGAGGAGGTTGGGAGCAGCGCGTGGAGCTGAGGGGCAGAGGGGATTTCATTCAGCTTCAGAGACAGCAGCCTCGTGCTTTGAACACTAAATTCACCCACAGCTTCTGTGCAGAACCTGTGTGCGTCTGGATGAGGGTGACAAAAAGCCAAACTTTGCTCCACAGTTTATCAAAGGCTGTTGGGATTTTGTTGTCACCAAGAGAAACCGCTGCCAGTACAAATCTCCCTCGTTCATTCATTCTGTAAATAAAATAAAGCTCATTTGTTCCTTAGTTTTTAATCGGTGACTTACTGGGCAGAGCGCTCTCACCACGGCTGCCTCTGGATCCGTTTCATCTCCGAGAAAACAAAGTTTCTGCTTGTTTATTTGTTTTGCCTTTCTTTTCCCTCAATCCAAATATTTGGGATGCGATTCTGTTTTGTTCATTTCTTTTCACATCCCCCAGCCCAGAGCTTCACTTTCAATAAAAACATCTGAAACTGTGAATTCAGTAGGGGTTCCTTCTGAGCAGGGGGGGTCGTGGCTCCATGCAGACACTGAGCTGCCATGGGAGCTCGCGGGGCCCTGAGCATCACCAGCTCCTGCTGCTCTGTGCGCAGGGCTGCGCTTGGTGCAGCTCAACAGGAGGGAGGTGGGGAAACAAGGAGAGGGGACCTGGCAGGAATTCTGCTTAAATGGGGAAGGTCAGTGTGACCTCAGTGTGACCTCAGTGTGACATCTGGGCTTGCTGGCGTGATGGCAAAGCAGTCTGCCTCCCTTTGAGGCTGAAGCAGGGGTGTCTGGTTTTGGCTTGTCTGCGTGGTGTTGGACTTTCATCCTGAACTGCAAATGCCATTTAATGTGGATAAAGCAACAAGGCTTCTTTTAGCATTTATTTATTAAAAAGAGGGCGGCAAAACAATGAAACCAAGAGGCACGTGGAGATTAAAGCCGTTCCTCCTCGCGCTCTTGTTATCCCTTCCCATCCCCGAGTGCCCACCTTCCTCCTGCTCCCACGGGCTGCTTTCTGGGGGGCAGGGCTGCGTTGTCCCTCCCCGGAGCCGAGCTCCACGATGAGCTGCGCGGCCCGCGATGCTGACGAGGCAGCGCTGCGTGCCGCCTCCCAGCCCAGGGCAAAGTGCGGAGCTCTTCCATCGCTCCCCGGACCGCGAAGCGAAAGGGCAGCAAAGTGACACAGTGGCAACGTTTGTGAAAGCGTTGGGAAAGAGGGGAAAGGTTGAACCTTCGGGTTGTGCTGAGCGGTGCGGGGGTTCAGCAGAGGGAAGAGCTTTTGCCGCAGCAGGGCTGAGAGGAGGAGGTCAGAGCGGTGCTGGGCTCACAGCAGGGCACGGAGCGCAGGGCTGCAGCGCTCGGCTCGGCTCCGTTCGTTGCAGAAACGCTCGCTGGCTTTCATGCACTTTTGCTCTCCCCTGCATGCTGTGAAGAGCCGTGCCCTCCTGGCTCCATTAAGTGCTTAAGAGCTCCAGAACGACTTGGCTATAAAATATATGCGTACATTTAATACAAACCGATCCCCATTTCCGGAATGAATTGGAAAGGGGGGAAAAAAAACCAACACAAAAAAACCCAATAAACACAAAACCACTCCAATACTCAAAGCCCCCGGGTTCCCCTCTCCCACACTGCAGCTCCCACATCCCAGCCCCGTACCGGAGGGGCTCTGAGCCCCCTCCCCTCCGCGCACCCCCCCTGCTCCCCGCTGTCGCTTTAAGGGCGCTGTCTGCGCCCGGCCCGGGGCCGAAGTCCGTCGGGGCTGCGGCGGCGCTCCGGGGATGCAGCTCCGCTCCGGGCCGGGCGCTCTCGCCCCCCCTCTGCTCGCCCTCCCCGTTGCTCTCGGCCTGAGCGGCGCTGCGGCGTTGGCGGAGTGAGTTCGGTGCGGGGCTGCACCGCTCCGGGCCGGGATGGAGCAACGGGCGGCGCGGGGAGACGTCGGGGTTTGGACAACGCTGCGGACGCGGGGCGGTTTTGGGCTCCGGGGCGATGCCGAGGGGGTTCGGTGCTGCCCGGACCGAGGGTCGGGCTGCGGTTCGGGTGCGGGATGTTCGCTGCGTCCCGGCCGAGCCCGCAGAACGTCCCGCTGGGCTCTCATCCCGCGGCTGCGTTTGCGGTATCGGCGGATGCGGGGCGGCTCGGGTTCGTGGCACAACGCAGACTTGGGGTCACCCAGGCCCGCCGATGGGGTCGGGGCGCTCAGAGCTTCCCCCTCGTAACGCCCAGCCCCTCCAGCGCTGCTCCCGGCGCCGCGCGACCCCTCCGCTCACCTCCGTTTCCCCCCCGCCCCCTCGGGCGTTGAGCCCCGGCCCCACAGCTCCCAAATCCCCTCCCATGGCCATCAAGGAGGGGTCGGTGCCTCTGCCCCACAACGGCCCCATCCTCACCCCCTGTGCCCGGCAGCGGACCCGCAGATGCTGCCCCGTGGGGACGCAGCCCCGTATGTCCCCCCCCCGCCCCATCACACAGGGTGACGTCTGACGGTGACCGGAGGAACCCTCCTTCGTGCTGCTCCAGCACCGCTCTTGTATTTGAATTCTGAATTAATCATTCCAGGGGAGTAATTAGTCATGTAGTAATTAATTATACACTACTAATAATGCACTTATGCGTTGACAGTTAAATCATTTGATTGTTTTGGTGTTGATTTTTTTTTTTTTTTTAATGAGTATCGGTCGGTTTTGGATGCCCAGAGTGCGCGGGTGGGGGCGGGGGAGTGGGGGGGGGCTGAAGACAACCCGAGCCCCACTCAGAGCCGCTGCGATGCCCACCCCATAACCCGCCCCTCGCCATCCCATCCCTGCCCCCCTCCCCGGCACAAAGCAAACGAGTCGGGGGTCTTTGGGGTTGCGATGGGAGTTTCCTACAGGGTGAGCTGTTGGCACGCAGCGATGCCTTTGTGCTCAGCGAGCGGCGCTTCCCCTGTTCCATTTCTTTGGTGCTGCGGTTAAAGGCTGGGGTGAAAAATGCCGTAACGTGTTCAGAAGACACGAGAGGCAGAAGAATTGGCTGGAACAGACCCCCGCTAATGCAATTCCCCCGGGAGGGTAGCAGTGAGCTCAGGACGGGTTTGCCTATAATTTCTTTGCACTCCTCAGACAAATCTGCAGCGTTTGTCTTCTCATTGCCTGTTCATTTTATAATCAGCAAGCTGGACGGGGGAAATGAGGCACACTGGGGACACGGGCCTCCCCTGCCTGACCCCCCTTCCTGTCCTACAGCAACACACTGCTGCTGGTGGCCGTGCTGCTCCTTGCTGTGCTGCTCGCCTTCGTCTACTTTGCCAGTGCTGGGAGCTACTTCCAGGACCCCCTGTTCTGCGGTGAGTGCCGGGGCTCCCAGCACCCCCAGTCCCCCCGTTGGGCAGTGGGGTCACACGCTGAGCCCTCCCTGCTGCTTCGTGCAGTGTTCGTGGTGTTCTCCTTTGTCTCTGCCATCGATCTGATCATCTCACTGGAGGAGGATGGCTTCATTTCGGGTTTTGCAGAGGTCTACGTGAGAGAGGTACAGCCCCATTGCAATCATTGGAGTGGCCAAAAGCAGCACCCGACTCACCCTGAGGGGGTTTGGGGATGGGGAAGGTGCTCACCCCCACCTTGTGATGTCTGCTGTCTGCTCAGGGTGAGCCGTACCTGCGCACAGCACACGGCATCATGATCTGTTACTGGGATGGCATCGTGCACTATGGGCTGTACCTCGCCATGATCACAGCCATGAGCCAGCGGTGAGCGGGGCCGGGGGGCTGAGGGTGGGGGGGAGGAGGATGAAGGGGGGGCTGTGTGCTGGGCTCTGACCGCACTGACTCTGCAGGAAGAGCTATAGGAGCCTGGGTCTCTTCTGGCTGGGCTCTCTGGTGATGAGCATCCTCGTCTTCCTGCTTGGGAATCTGATAGGTAATGGCGCTGTGGGAGGGACGCCAGCACCAACAGCACCCCATGCTGTTGCCCCAGAGATGAGTGCTGGGCAGTGTGCTGCCCCCACCCACCCCACGTCCTCCTCCTCAGGCAAATACAGCTCCGACATCAACGCTGCCTTCCTGCTCAATCTGCCCTACATCCTCATCCCCATCTGGGCGGGCAGGCGGCTCTTCCAGCAGCCCAGGGCTGTGCCGTGCCTCACAGCGGAGCAGGTGGGCACCAATGGGGCAGGGGCTGGGCGGCACCGACCGTGGGGCATCAACATGGGGCACAACCCAGCACCACGGGGCGTCAACAACCCTTATCTCCCCCCCAGACTGAACGGGAGCAGCGCAGGTGGCTGCACCAACGGCCCCACGACCTGGTGCTGGTGCTGGTCCTGCTTCTGATGGCTTCCTTCACCTTCTTCAGGGGGATGGTGAGCACCGGGGGGGCCAGATGCGCCGTGGGGAAGGGTTGGCAGGGGGCAGACTTTGCACTGGGGTGGGCTCCTGCCGCCCTTGGGTCCGTGCAGGTGGTGCTGGATTGCCCTGCTGACTCCTGCTTTGAGTACATCTACCAGCACGAGCCCTACCTGCGTGACCCCATCGCCTACCCCAAAGTGCAGGTGAGTGCGGGCAGTGGGGACCCCTGTGTCTCCCAGGACACGACGACTGCTCCGTCCCTCTGCTCACAGATGCTGATCTACCTGTTCTACGTCCTCCCCTTCCTCTGCCTCTGCATCTACGCTCTGCTGCGCCCGGGCTGCTCCTGGCTGCCCGACTGGAGCCTGGTGTTCGCTGGGGCCATTGCACAGGTGAGGGCAAGGAGCTGGGGGGGGGAAGGGAAGGTTGCAAGTGGGCACCCACCCTGCATCTGGAGCAGCTCCCAGAGCTGCCTCTACAGCCCGATAATTAATTATTCCTCGGTGGATCTTAATGGAGCCGGGGATGAGTTTGCCAGAAATAGGCTGGAGCGAGCCTGCAGCCTATAGACAGGACGTGGGCCAGAGCAGCACCCCTCGGTGCCACCCCTTCCTCTGTCCCCAGGCGCAGTTCTCCCATCTGGGCTCCTCACTGCACTCCCGCACGCCCTTCCCATACCAGACCCCCGAAGACGTCTGGTGGAGTTTCCTCATCACAAACGTCCTTTATGCGTTGGGGCCGCAGCTCCTCGCCCTCCGCTGCCTGCACAGCCCCGCGTTCTTCCTGCCCATCACCTCCAGCAGCCTGCAGGGGGGCAAGAAACACCAGTGAGCTGCCAGCCCCTCCATGGGATGCTGCTGTGGAGGGGTCCCGTGCGATGCCCCTGTCCCTCTGGTGCCTCCCCGTGGTCCTGGATGCGCTGGGGGGACTCGGCGGGCTCTGTGTGCGGCTGGGTGGCCTGGGGGGGGGTCTTAGTGGTGGGAGTGATGGACCCCCTCCCCTCCCCCCGTCCCACCCGCGTTCTGGCTGTTGGAATGCAGAAGCATGGAGCACACCACAAAAAAACAAACCTGTTTACAAAATAAAGGAGTTCGGGTCCGGCTTTGTAACACCGGTGTGTGTGCACTGTGTCCCCAGAGCAGCTGCCCATGTCCCCCCTCCCGTAAAACCCCCCGCCCCCCCGGCCCGTGCTGCCCTTGCCTTGCCCTTGGTGCTGGGGATGCGGCAGGGAGGGGGGACTCTGCGCGGAGCGGGGATGCACGCGGGGCTCAGAGGGGTGCATGCGTGTGTGCGGGGCTGTGCACGCGTGTGTAGAGCTGTGCAGACATGCAGAGATGTGCACACGTTTAGGGATGCCCCGCGGGTGCCCGTTCACGTCCCGACCGATTTGAGGGTCTTCATCCGTGCCCCCTCCCCGGTGCTGCCCTTGTTCTAAGGGACGGACCGGGGGGAGGGGGTGTGGGGGGGAGGTCGCCCTGCCGAGCTCCAGTCCCCCCCGGGGGCCGCCCCGCCGTTTCCCCGCCCGCCTGGCGGTACCGGGGGTGCCGGTGCCGGTACCGGTGACCTTGGCAGCCGGCGGCCCTGCGCAGCGCCGGGAGCCGGGCAGGGCCGGGCCGCGCTCCCGGTGCCGCCCCCTGCGCGGAGCCGCACCGACAGCACCGGCAGCACCGGAGCTCTCCTGCGGTCGCCCCCCCTTCCCCCGCATCCCCCCGCCGCGGGCCGGCACCGCACGGGTGCGCGGAGCCACGGTAAGTGCGGAACATCCCGGTACCGGCACGGCGTGCGGGGCAGCTCGGTGGGACCGGGGCTGAGGGGGGGTTCTGGCCGTTTCCCCCCCGCGCTGCGTTGCTCCCCGCGTCCCGCAGCTCAGGAGCTCCCGCCGCAGTGCCCCGCACTGCAACACTGCACCGCACCGGGACCTCCACGGGAGGAGGGAGGGGGGGAGAGGAGGGGTTGCACGGCACTGGGGTCTGCCCCCGCCCCTCAGCTACGCACCGACCCCGAGCACTGAGCGCCGGGAGGGGTCCGTCCCAGAGGGGGGAATTTGGGGCACGGGGGGATCGCAGCCCCCGGCGGGGGGGGGGGACGAGGACGCAGTGCGGGGTTGCACCCAGAGAAAGGGATGTGGGTCAGCCCGGAGGGGGGGGGGTTGTGCTGCAGCCCACCCTCGCGCCATCAGTTCAGTTTCCAGATGTGCCATAAATAACTCACGAGATCCGTCCCGCAGCGCGTGCCATGAAATATTCATCCCGGCTGTAACTGAGCGGGTGAAGCGGAGTTCAGTGCTGCACAGCCCGGGGGTCCCCGCGGGGCGCTCAGCCCTCACCCCACAGCGCTGCCAGAACGGGAGATGGGCACACTGGGACTGGGGGGGGGAGGGGGTCCTGCAGGTGGGGCCTTGGTCTTTGTGGGGACGGGAGGTTGGATGCGATGCTTCCCCTGTGCTGCCGTGTTGGTGGATGCTGATGGCTCTGCTCTCCCCCCAGATGTGTCCCCAGGGGCCCTGGGCTGCGCTGCTGCTGCTGGTGGGTGTCCTCGCTTCTGACACGCCGCCCAGTGCCAGGGGAAGGAAGAAGGTGGTCCACGTCCTGGGTGAGTGCTGGGGGGTCCATGGTGGGGGTGCAGGCGCCCCTTTGTGGAGCCTTTGTGGAGTGGGGTTTAATGTTCTTGGAAGCACAGCGGAGATGTCCCATAGCTTGCAAAGCTCCTCCAAAGTGGGAACCCTCCCCAAAAGCTGCTTCTTCCCATCTCTGAGCCGAATGGCCGCTCTGCCCCACCACAGCTCCATCCCATCTGACTCTGCGATGGGGCAGCTTTGGGAACGAGGAGCCCACTGAGCTCAGTGTCCCTTGCAGAGGGGGACAGCGGGGCCGTGGTGGTGCAGACAGCTCCGGGGAAGGTGGTGACGCACCGGGGCGGCACCATCATCCTGCCCTGCCGCTACCACTACGACGTCTCGGCCCACGACCCCGACGAGATCCGCCTCAAATGGACCAAAGTGACGGAGCCGATGGCCTTCGTGGACGTCTTTGTGGCTCTGGGGAAGGCGAGGAGGGCGTTCGGCAGCTACCGCGGGCGCACGGCGCTGCAGGAGGACGGCTTTGGGGACGCCTCGCTCATCATCCGCAACGTCACCCTGCAGGACTACGGGCGCTACGAGTGCGAGGTGACCAACGAGCTGGAGGATGACACCGGCATGGTCAAGCTGGATCTTGAAGGTAGCGGCGCGGCGCTGGATCCGATGGGAACGGGGACACGCGGGGACCATCGGTGGCCATGTGTGCTGCGTGGGGTGACGCAGCTCCCAGTGCCACATCCTCGGGCTCAGCTTTACGGCCGCTTGTTTGTCCCGGCATGCGCTGTGTTTTATTGCATCTGTTATTGGCTTTTATTGTTGCTCCAGGTTGACTCGCTGGCAGCTCGTAAAGGCCGCAGATAGATGGAGGCACGGCCTCGTAAAGCAGCAGGGGGGACTGGGGCGCGTGGCAGCATCGGTGCCGCACGTGGCTCAGAGCTGAGCTGTGGCACGGGCTGGAACAGCTGGGGATGCTGAGAAAAGGGGAAAAGCTTTGTCAGCGCACGGCCGTGCCGCGTGGTCAGTGCACGCCTGCTGCAGGGGCTCAGCCCCGTGCCTGGGTGCTCCGTACGGCATCGATGTGACCCCCGCTTTGCCATGGGATGAAGGGTGGTTCACGGGTGACGCTCTCACACCCCAGCCCCGCTCGCTGCCCCACAGGCGTCATTTTCCCCTACCATCCTCGCCTGGGCCGCTACACCCTGAACTTCCACGAGGCGCAGCAGGCTTGCCTGCAGCAGGACGGCATCCTGGCCTCGCACGACCAGCTGCACCAGGCCTGGCTGGAGGGCATGGATTGGTGCAATGCAGGCTGGCTGCAGGACGGCTCCGTGCAGTACCCCATCTCCCACCCGCGGGAGGAGTGCGGCCGCAAGGACACCCCGGTGGGTGTGCGCAACTACGGCTACCGGCACAAGGAGAGCGAGCACTACGATGCCTTCTGCTTCACCTCCAACCTCAACGGTGAGTGGGGAAACTGAGGCGCTGGAGAGAGGTTCCCCGTGGAGAGAAGGGGCCGTTCGCAGTCTTCTCCCTGTGCTGCAATGCCAAGGTCCTGCTGGATGCTGCTAATGGGACCGGCCTCAGGAAGTGGCTGCACACCCCCGTGTCGCATCACGAGGGGTTCGGGAGTGGGGACCCCCATCCAAAACCGGGGTCCATCTGTGTGCCCCCATCACCCTCTGCTCGAGGGCACTCGCTCTCAGCCCAGCTCTGTGTTCCCTGAGCAGGAGGAGGGGATGGAGGTAATTGCAGCTGCGAGTGGCCCGGGTGATGGATGAGGCCGGGGCCAGGCAAGACAGATTGGAGCCGTGAGGGCTCTGGGGCTGTGTAAATTCCTCCTGGCTGGCAGGGCAGCGTGGGGGGGGCTCTGCGGATGTTTGTTTAATGGTGGCAGACAGGATAAATAGCAGGCAGCACCGCCAGCACCAGCGGCACCGCGCAGCCCCGTAAATCTGCCCGTGCTGAGGGGGGGTCCCCACGGCTGGCCGCTTGTCTCCTCCATCCCTTCTGATGAGGATTGGGCTGGGGAGGCCCAGATCCCCCACAGGGATGGATGTGGGGCTCACCCCTCCTGGCAGCACCGCTCACTCCCATCTCCACCCAACGCCCCACCCGCTGGCGCTGCACCCCATCCCCAAACCCTTTTCTTTTCTGCACCCCCCTTCTCTTCCCCAGGCAAAGTTTACTTCCTGAAGACGTTCCGCAAGCTGAGCTACGCCGAGGCGGTGCAGGCCTGCAAGAACAACGGGGCGGCCGTGGCCAAGGTGGGGCAGCTGTATGCTGCCTGGAAGATCCAACTGCTGGACCGCTGCGAGGCGGGCTGGCTGGAGGACGGCAGCATCCGTTACCCCATCGTCAACCCGCGGGCGCGCTGCGGCGGCCGGGAGCCTGGAGTGCGCAACCTGGGCTTCCCAGACAAGAAGTACAAGCTTTTTGGAGTGTACTGCTTTAAAAAGGCTGGTGATGCTCCTCCTGAGAAGAAGAAGGGTGAGGGGCATCCCAACCGTGTGTGATGCAGTGCTGGGGTTCCCCACGAGGCTCCCCCAGCCCTGCATGGCTGCGGAGCGTCCTTGGACTCCGCAGGGAGCCCCCAAGGTTGGGGCTGTGCACGTGGAACTGGAAGAGCTCAGGTGATGCCGGCGGGTGCTGTGCTGTGCCCGGGCCCAGTGATGCCTGGGGGGAAACTGAGGCACCTGGAGAGAAAGCACTGAGCTGCCTGGGCAGGAAGATCCAGCACCAACCTGGCAGAGCCCATCTGAAGTCATCGCTTAGAATTCAGCGCATTGCATGTGCAAAAAGCCTGGCCAGAGCAATGCAGGACTGAACCCCCTGCATCCTTGTGCTCTCCAGCTCTGCGCTGGGACCAACCCCACCTCGGGGTGCTGCAGGTAACACAGCAGCGGGGGCACAGCCCCAAAATCTGGCACCAATGCAGGCGGTGCCCACTTGGGGCAGCAGCCTCTCGCCCTCGCGCTTGGCTTAGTGCAGAAGCTGCCCCAAGCTGTCTGCCCACCCCGGCCGGGGGCAGCTCTGGGTGTCATGCAGCCGCAGTGCTGTGAGCTGGACTTAGGTAAAATAAAAGCTTCAGCTGCTTCGGAGAGCTGAGCCGGGCTCACGTGTCTCCTTGTCCTGGTGCCTGCTGGCGAGGGCAGCAAAAGGGACCCCGGGGTGCACAGAACCACGGGACAGCACTCACCCCACCTCCCACCCGAATGAACATCGCTTCTGGTTTCTCTCTGTACCCAAAGTCCTGGTCCAGCAGAACTGGGCGTGTTTCAGGATTTCCCCAGCAGCATCCTTACAGCATCCCTACTGCATCCCATCCCCACTGACAGATCAGGACCAGCCCCAAGTGTGGGGAGCAGCACCACAGCAACACAG